AGGCCACCGCTGCCGCGGGCACTGCGCCTCTACAGCGCCAGGGTGGCCGCGCCCGGCGCACGGGAGGAGAGCGCTACCTCCGCGCGCTCAGCGCTGCCCGCCGCCCCTACAGACTCCGCCCCGGCCCTGGCACAGCTTGCTTTATGGGCTTTTCTCACACTCTCAGGGGCTGGTAAGCAGACGAGCAACCTCAGAGATGGGCCCAGGTCCAGGCCTTTGATCGGGCCACCTGTCACAGTGGCACCTGACTTCTCTATTAACAGCATCTGGCTGGCTGGAGTAACCATGGAAACCAGGGCCTAAGCGGGGAGGCCAGAAGAGGCTATGCCATACCTCCAGCCAGAGGGCAGGGCTGAGACCAAAAAGGTGACTTTGGAGATGAAAAGGTGATCAGGTCACTGGGTGGAGTCTGAAGAGGTTTTCCAAAGAACAGATGAGGTGCCCAACCTGGCCCATCTATTAGGAACTCGAGGGCCGGGCATGGTGGCACATGCCTGTAATCCCAGCACTCGGGAGGCTGAAGCAGGAACATTGTTGCAAGTTCGAGACCAGCCTGGGCTACAAAGTGAGCTCAAGGCCAGCCTGAACTGCATAGAGAGACCCTGCCTCAAAAAAAAAGATAAAAAGTATTAGGTTCTTGACTCTTGTCACAAGAAAAAAATTTCAGGACACATGAGTAAGAGGCATAGACAGATTTTATTAGGCAGAGATAGACACTTGCTGGCCGTGGTGGCATATGCCTTTAATCCCCGCACTCAGGAGGCTGATGCAGGAGGATCCATCAGCACAAGTTCGAGGCTAGCTTGAGTTACATAGTGAGTTCAAGGACAGTCTCAACTACATAGGGAGGCACTGTCTCAAAAAAAAAAAAATAGTAAAAGATGTGGAGTTCATACTGTGTATGATTGCCTAAGCCTATGATCCCAGTATTCTGGGAGGCTGAGACAGGAAGTTCACACGTTCGAGAATCACTATATGAACACTATATAGGTTGGACCTGAAAAATATGTAGTCTCCTATAGGGTGGAGATTGAGACCCTGTCTCAAAAAACAAAAAAAAATTAAAATAAGCAAAGGTCGGGTATGGTGTCGCACGCCTGTAATCCCAGCACTTGGGAAGCTGAGGCAGGAGGCTCATTGTGAGTTCGAGACCAACCTGGGCTACAAAGTGAGCTCAAGGCCAGCCTGAACTGCATAGCAAGACCCTGTCTCAAAAAACAAACAAACAAACAAAAATATATAGGGTGGAGATTACATTGCTTACACAACAAGCCTGAGCTCCCTGCCAGACCCCTTAAAATCCTCTAGACAAAGAGCCCTACTCAGTTTTTTGGAGTTTTTTTTGTCCTTTTTTTGAGACGGGGTCTCCCTATGCAGTTCAGGCTGGCCTTGAGTTCACTTCGTAGCCCAGGCTGGTCTCGAACTCACAATGATCCTCCTGCCTCAGCCTCCCAAGTGCTGGGATTACAGGTGTGCACCACCACGCCCGGCAAGAGCCCTACTCAGAATCCCCTCCCGGACAGCTCAAGCTGTCTTTATATCTTTTAAATAAATTTGCTGGCACGGACCTCCTCCATCCGCAGTTTCATTCTTCCTGACCATGTAACTCAACCCCTGCATTTCGGTGTCTGCTGTGTACCAGACAGCAGTCAGTGCTTTACAAACGTAGTGCAACAGTTAAATCCACACAAATCTCAAAAACCTGAGCTGATTTCCTCATGAAGTTGGAGAATGAGATTGTGGCTGAAGAGCAGGAAGCTGGAGGAGTATTTATTAGAAATAGTGCAAGAGCAATAGCTCCCAGGTGAGAGGGGTCCCAAATGGGTCACCAGGTGCCCCCTCAATTCAGAGCTTCTTTTGGCTAAGGGAGACACAGGAGTTGCTCAGTTTTTCACTGTCCACCTATCACAGGTGGCTCTGTGGATTTAAAGTGACCTATTGGAGCTCAGACTCTCTAACCCAGTTACTGAGCACATATGGGTGTTTTTGTGTTTGTTTGTTTTTTTTTTTTTTTTTTTTTTTGGTCTTTTTGTAACAGGGTCTAGCTATGCAGTTCAGGCTGGCCTTGAACTCACTTTGTAGCCCAGATTGGTCTCAAAATTGCAACATTGTCCTACCTTAGCCTCCTGAGTGCTGAGATTATAGGCAGGTGCCGCCACTCCTGCCCTAGCAGGTAGGGTTTAAACCCAACTCTCTTCTATTCCCTCTACCAAAAAAAAAAAAAAAAAACAAAACCCAACTCTCTCAGGCCCTTTCCCTAGATAGCTGCATATTCAAAAGCTAACTAAGGCTGGGCGTGGTGCACGCCTGTAATCCCAGCACTCAGGAGGCTGAGGCAGGAGGATCATCGTTTCGAGTTCGAGACCAGCCTCAGCTACAAAGTGAGCTCAAGGCCAGCCTAAACTGCACTGTGAGACCCTGTCTCAAAAAGACCAAAAAAAAAAAAAAAAAAAAAGCTGCCGGTGTGGTGGCGCACGCCAGTAATCCCAGCACTTGGGAAGCTGAGGCAGGAGGATCATCGTGAGTTCGAGACCAGCCTGAGCTATAAAGTGAGCTCAAGGGCAGCCTGAACTGCATAGCAAGACCCTGCCTCAAAAAGGCCCCCCCCCCCAAAAAAAGCTAACTAAACTTGTTTAGAGCAGTATCTCTTAATCCAGCATCCCTGTGTGGTAGGTGTCGTTAGTCCATTGGACAGATGAAAAAGCCAAGATCTGGACAGATTCAGTCGTTTTTCTGAGACACTGAGTGAAGCAGCAGAGAGCCTTCCAGTAGAACCCGAATCTGTCTTCCTCCAAACTGTTCTTTCCATTCTTCCCAGCTGCCCTCATTTGCTCTTTAAAGAGATAATTTTGTGACCCAGATACATCTAATTGGTGACATTTCCAGCTGAAAGACCAGGTGACCATTCTTGTCCTTTCTGCCCTTCCTGATCCATAAAACGTTATTTTTAGGAAGGTGAGATGGAGGACGATTGTTTGGGGGTGGCTCTGCCCTCAAGATCAGCCCCCCTCAGGTCATCTTCACCTCCACACCCCTCTTCTAGTCTCCCTGCCCTCAACACTCCTGTGGCCATGCAGACTGGGCAGTACAGTGGCGTGTGGTGCCCAGCTGTGTCCATGGTGTAGACCAGAGACCCTCTGCCCTGTCTCAGGATTCTGCTGGCTTTCATGGGGCAGGGGGCATTCTGGGGTCTCTTGGACTCATACTGCAGCCAGGGACTAGACCGGCAGGCTGAGCCCCAGTCTGTCCCTTGGTCACTGCAGCATCCACTTGCAGGACTCAGCAGCTGACAGCAAGAGTTGGCCCTTATTAATATCTTCCTGGGCCGGGGATAGAGCTCAATGGCACAGCGCCTGCCCAGCAAGCACGAGGTCATGAGTTTGATTCCTGGTACCAAAAAAAGAGAAAGATCTTCCTGTGTCCCAGTGCTGACATGCACCAGTCCCGTGACATCCCCTGCCATCCCCTAATCTCGCCACACATCTTTAGGGCTAAAAACTGCCACAGTCCCTTTACTTCCAGGGGGTGGAAGCCCTTCTGCCTTTCTTTCTTTCTTTTCTTTCTTTCTTTCTTTCTTTCTTTCTTTCTTTCTTTCTTTCTTTCTTTCTTTCTTTCTCTCTCTCTCTCTCTCTCTCTCTCTCTCTCTTTCTTTCTTTCTTTCTTTCTTTCTTTCTTTCTTTTTTTCTTCCTTCCTTCCTTCCTTCCTTCCTTCCTTCCTTCCTTCCTTTCTTCCTTTCTTCCTTTCTTCCTTTCTTTCTTTCTCTTTTCAAGACAGGGTCTCGCTATGCAGTTCAGGCTGGCCTTGAGCTCACTTTGTAGCCCAGGCAGGTCTCGAACTCTCAACAGTCCTCCTGCCTCAGCCTCTCCCAAGTGGTGGGATTACAGGTGTGTGCCACCATGCCCAGCACTTTTTGAATATTTGTTTATTTTGCTATTAGTTCACCTGGCCTTGAACTCACTAGGTGGCTTAGGCTGACTTCAAACTCATGGCGGTTTTCCTTTTTATGCCTTCTGAGTGCTGGGATTATAGCCATGTGGCACCACGCCTGGTTTATAATGTCCTTCCTTTTTTTTTGGTAGGAGTACTGGGGATTAAACCCAGGGACTCAAGGATGCTAGGCAAGCACTCTACCACTGATCTGGAGCCCCAAGAAATGGAATCTTAAAAAGCTATAGGTCAGGCGTGGTGGCACATGCCTGTAAGTCCAGCACTCAGGAGGCTGAGGCAGGAGGATTGTTGTGAGTTTGAGGCCAGCCTAGGCTACAAAGTGAGCTCAAGGCCAGCCTGAACTGCATAGCGAGACCTTGTCTCAAAAAGACCAAAAAAAAAAAAGTAGTAGTATACATCTATAATCCCAGCCTCCAGGAGGCTGAGGCAGGAGGATTGTTGTGAGTTTGAGGCCAGCCTAGGCTACAAAGTGAGCTCAAGGCCAGCCTGAACTGCATAGCGAGACCTTGTCTCAAAAAGACCAAAAAAAAAAAAGTAGTAGTATACATCTATAATCCCAGCCTCCAGGAGGCTGAGGCAGGAGGATTGCTGGGAATTTGAGGCCAGCCTTGGCTGCATAATGAGACTGTGTCTCAAAAAAACATCAAAACAAAATAAAACAAAGAAACAAAAAGAAGCTTATGTGGCAAGACTAGGAGCTGAGCTTGGGTCTAGAGCTCTGAACCATCGCTAGGGCAAATGAAGTCAGAACCAGGGCACATGAAGTGGATAAGGAGTCGTTGTACTGGGGACGCTGAAACCTAAGGCCAAAGAAGCAAAGCACACTGGGGAGGAACGGTCCGAAGCGGGGGAGGGGAAGGACATCGTCCTTAAGAGGAGGGCAAGGTCACAGGGCCAGTTGGGCACTGTCCTTCCCATGTAGCAGCTGGTCAGTGGCTGGCTGCTTCGGGGGGCGGTGGGGGCAGAGGCCGGGGCTGGAAAATGCGTGGGAAGTCAAAGGGGGGACACTGAGTCTGCCGGGGAGTGACAGAACAAGATGCAAGGACAGTCGGGGGGACGAGCCCCACTGCGTGTGCTGCCTCTGCCTGGTTTGCTTTGGGCTCAAGGGGACTTGTTCTGTCCCGCGGGGGCGGGAAGCAGCACCAGGAGGGAAGCTGAGAAAGCCAGAGGCGGGAGCCTCAGAGGAGCGATGTCACAGAGACAGGAGAGGGCAGCCCGGGCCTCATGGGACAGACCTGCGTCCCCCAGGCCCCTTCCTCTCCTTGGACCAGCTGGACCCCTAAAGACTGGAGGCCCTTGGTGGATGCGTCACCCCGAAGTGGAGGGATGTTGCTGGTGGAGGACAGGGCAGAGCTCAGCCCAGCCCAGCGCCGCTGCAGTCACGCAGGACTCTGCTGCTCCCAGAGCAGGGAGGCGCCGGGAGGAGAGCCAGCCGGGAAGCTGGAGATCGCTGCCCGAGAGCTGCCTTTCTCTTAATGGGGTTTGCTATCATTAAATGTCATCAATCCTGCATTCTCCAGGCTAAAACCTGATATCATGGGCGGGAGAGAGCGGCCCCCATCCGCCCGTGAGATCTCTGCTGCCCACGCTGTG